AAATACTTTCAAATAATAATCATTATATCTGTATTGATATATACTATATCTTCTCTATATATATAATTATTTATAAAGCTACTTATACATCAATCTTACAAGCAATATATGCTGCATCCTCTCAATATATAATTATTAACAAAGCTTAATATACAGTATCATTAGCTGGGCTATCCAAAAATTTATTAATTATTCTAACTAGCCAATCAAATTACAAGATCAGAAGTAATGTAATATAGTCAAAAAATTTAAAGCAAATATTTCTTTTGTCAAAAATCACTTATAACTCAAAATTTAGTTTATGAAACTGTCTTCTTCACAAAATTTGATAGTAAAAATACTTTTAAGCTCTAAGTTAATCGCAAATTACAAACACTAATTTAATAACATAAATTTTTATTTTGAAAAAATTTAGGTGGCGAATTAATTAGAGTAGCCTATTTTTTTGAAATTTTTAACTTTGAAATAAAAAGGTTAAAAAGTTAATTTCAGCCAAAAATTAATAAATAGTTATGTAATACAGGCAGATCTACAGCCATTAGCCAATCAAAATCTAGGATCTGCTAGGACAATAAGTTGAGTTACAAGTGTTTAAAACTTTATAGACATATATATATACAGAGTTTACTATAGGGTTCTAACGAGTTTTATCTTAACAAGCTTTGGTATAATAAACTATAAATGCTTAAATATTAAATCAGTATAAAGAATATAATAGATGTTTAAAAAAAATACTTTTTTTTATTTTGTTTCTTACATTTACATAATGTAGTTTGATTGATTGTTATATGTTTAGTCAATAGCCAATTATAATGTATTATTCAATTTTATATAATCAACTAATTACAAAAAAGTAATCTTATATAATCTATATTCTGGGTCTAGCCCACAATATAAGATTATAATAATTATACTATACTGTCAACTACCAATATAATAGTTATCTTTAGATCAGATTTGTCAGTTTAATAGACAAATTGCAAAGAACTGAATTTTTAATATATAAATAATTTATATATAATTATTATAATAGATTAATAATAAATAAGTTATAACATAGATTTTTTTTAATTCAGATTTTTGTTATATAGATAGTTAATAGTATAGTTTCAGTATATTTAGAAATTTTACTTTTTAATTAAAGTATTTTTAAGTATAAAATTGTTTAAAATTATTTTGCTTAGTAATTATTAACATTTTTTTGAAAATAAAAATTAGTTTAATTTTGTAAAATGTTATATTACAAAAAAAATATATAAACACCTTTGAAGATTAAAAAAAAAAAAAAAAAAAATATATATATATATATATATATATAAATATAATATAAATACAATTTTAAATAATTAATTAATCAATTAACAACTCTTTCTAACGATCCTCTAATCAACAAGTCCAAAAATTCGAACTACAGTCAGTGTTATAGAAGACATCAAAGGGTGATAATATACTTGGTCCTACACAAGTAGGTGTGTTGTTGATGAAGTATCAAGAGTGTATAACCGAGAAGTGGACTACTTTGGACAGTTTTTGTAGAGGTCAAGCTTTCTTGTTAGCAGACTCCTCTATTATATTCGGCATCCAAACCAGAAGAATATTCTGGGAATACAGAATGACTAGGTCGACACTAAGCATATTAAAAATCTAGAGATAGTTTCTATATAACTGTAAAACTTATAAAAAAGAACCTACAAAGTTTTGTTGGCCCACCACTTTTTTTCAAAAAAATTTTGTCAAAAAGTGGGTGTTTTAGTTTACTCCCTTCAAAAAATCAATATGTAAAATTACCAAAACAGTTAGTATTGTTGATTTCCCAATGTAGACATTTTATCATTATTTACTTTTAGTAAACCTGTAAACAAATATGCAAGTGGTTATCCAGAGTAGGAAACGTTATGCGAGTGGGTGGGCGAAACAGATAACTGAGACAACACATGTATTTCATACTTAAAAATGCTATTAAATAGAAATTGTTATAGCATTACAAGTAAAAAAAATTTAGTCAATTTGTACACAAAAAATTTTTATAATATAATAAGTTCTTATATATAATAAATTGAACCTAAAAGATTACTACTAGGAGCCAAGAACTGGTATATGTCCAGAGCATAAAATTAAAAAATAGTTATAAAATAATAATTACTATTTGGGATTTTTGCTAGCAAAATAATCCTACAAGCCATTGTTACAAGATTTTTATTAAGAAAAACATAATAAATCTATTTTTAGAAAAAAAATCCTACAAAGATTCTATTTGTAAACTATATATAATATTGTATATATAATTATATAATTTATAAACTAATAAAATATATTTTATTAAAAAAATATAAATAATTTTGTTAATTTTTTTTATAAATTTCTATTTGTTAAAATTATTTGTACTAATTTATATATTATAATTTAAAACTAAAATTAGAATTAATAAATAATATATTAAATTTAGTATAAAAAATTTTTATTTAAAAAAAAAATACTAAAAATATAAAAAACTTAGATTTTATATATACAATATTTTAATTAATTTTAATAAATCTCAAATCTACTTATATAGAATAAATTTTTTCTGTTTAATTAAATTTTTTTTTCACTTTGGCCATCTCGCCAATATTCTTTATTATATTCAATTTGTCAGTGAACAAAAAGCACTTCATATGTATATAATATTAAGGTTTGACATCTCGCATTTACTTCTAAGAGCACTTACAAGTAACTAGTCACATTAGGCAGATGAATCTACAAGTAGATACATTACAATAGGTTTTAAAGAAACTTAACTATTCCAGAAGGCACCATCAGACCACCGCTCTACAATAGAATATCACCAAACTGATAACATCTTCTCGTAGGGAAGTAAAAAAAGAAAAAAATACTAGCACTAAAACTAAACTAAAAAAGAAGGAAGAGGAACAAAATAAAAAAAAAATCTGACAGATCACAATTATAAGCCTGTGTTAGTCTTTAAAAATTACATATTACAAGATAAAGAAGCTCTGCATCTAACTCTATTCTAATAATATATATATTTAACCTAAAAAACCTATTAAGGTAAAAAAATGTTAAAACTAAACTAAAAAACCTTAGATAAACTAGACAGAGTAGCTTAAGGTAGTCTAGAAGTATTATTAGCGGTTTATAGAAATCGAGGCACAAGTCACCATTAACTTTCTTTTCAAATATAAGTGAATTTTAAAATTTACAAAAATAGAAGAACTTTTACTTATAATTTAAATTTTATGAAACCAAAATTTTTATAGTTAAAAAGTGTATTTAGATACAAATTTGCTGAAAGTAAATTTATTACTTTTTGTAATGTACATAAGTAATAAGTGGACTACTTAAATAGGCAACCAAAAGTTGTATGTGTGACTAGTTGTACTCTCCAAATATGTATATGGTATATACCATAACCAAATAAAAGAAACACAACCAAGAAATCACTTTAACATTAAAAAAAAATTTTATTACTTTTTAATATTACAAATTTGTACTGTATAAGTGCGAAATAATGCTTGTGGGCGTTATTTTGAAAATCATGTTCCTCAAAAATAGCATATATGGTTTCGAATTAGCACCTATGGGTGTCCCGAATTAACACACATCCCAATAGAGCTAGTGATTATACTCGGCTTGTAATAACAGCCAGTCTGATATATATATTAGGGGCTTCTGTGTTTTAGTCTAAATATTTAAGGTAAATTATCTAGATTGATTTTGGTCAATATTCCAAACATCGAAATCCTGATAGTACTGAATCTCTATATACTAAATCTTGAAAGAACATAATTCTGAAGTTCTGAAGAGATAGTATCCCGAAAACTAAATCCTCACCAAAAAAATCTAATATTCATAATTATGAATTTTTGAAAGTTTTTTCTTTTTTAAGATTTAGTTTTCAGGATATTAGCTCTTTAGGATTTTGTTCTTTCGAGATTTAGCACATTGGGATTTAGGTTGGAATTTAGTACAATCAAGATTTTGATGTTCAGGATATTGATAGAGATGGCAAATGTTTTAAAAAATATTTTAATACATTATGATGTAATTTGATCTGATTGTGTAATTTAGTATTTATGATTACTAACATTCAAAAAAAAAATTTAAAAAATTCTTTAAAGCAATGTTTCATGTTCGTGGAGACACCTTTAAAAGAAATTGTTAATTAGCGAATTGATTATATAAGCGCCAAAAATTGGCGCCTATATGTATAGATTGGATATCTTTTACTGTCCATACTATACAATTCTTTTTTGTACCTTTCCAGTAACCACGGCATTGTCCTTGGTCGCTCTCTTTATTATTACAAACTTCTGACATTTATCTATTTCCATCGGGTTTAAGCTGTAAATATATGTGTCATTTCATAATTGATGGTAACATTAGCAAAAGGAGTGCCCTAATTTCCCCCGCCACTTCTGATTGGCTGTACTAATTATTCATTTATCTGAGCCAATCCAATTTCACGATCAGATGTAACGTAAAATAAACGTAAAATTTTGGTATAAGAAACGTCTTATAATTATAATATAATGCCAAAACATTAATTCTAGTCTAACAGCGCGAATTTTTACTTGAAAAAGTTTTTTGATTATTAATATAAATACTCCAATAATTGAATAAATAGTTCAGCCAATCAGAAGTGGCGGGGGAAATTAGTAAACCCTAGCAAAAGATATTAAATACTTCTAACTCTTTTTATTATATTAATTTGTTTATAGTTTAAAAATATTGTTTACTTTATCAAATATTATTTATCTTTATTTAATCATTGTCGCAGATGATCGTGAAATCGGATGATTGTGAAATTTGTGGTCTCAATTTGAAAATATAAGCTCTACCAAAATCCATCTATACCCTTTTACTAATAACTTTAACACTACTCCTAAATTAACTATAATAAAAAAGCTGTCAAAAAAAAGATCATCCAATTTCACGACCATCCATTATATATGTGTTCAAGAAATGTGATAATGAATACGTATGCATATTATCAATTTAATCTACAATAACAATTCACTTATTAAGACATCATCAGGATTCAATGTATGATATAGTTCGACATTGAATTCATTATTAACCAAAAGTTTTTGGCACATTTTATCAATAGCAATAGTACTTAATACAGTTTGCACATATGCGTCAATTAACTCATCAATACCCAATCCAATAATATCAAACTCTTTCTGGTCGATCTTAATTACTCTTTCGTATTCTGATATCCACTCAGAACCTAATTTAACGGATATGTTTGTTCCAAGGATCTCCCATGAGTTCACTATTATATTTAAAATAAGAGGTTTCATTAAGACTAGGTAATGTATATCCAAGCAAAAATAAATTCTATATCCAATCCAATAGCATTACGAAAAAGAATAGAAAGCAGAAAGAATGTTATATAAGCTATATGTTTATATGTTAATGATTAACTTACGATTAGAATCATTCGGTAGGTAAGTAGGGAGTGGCTTATGAGCACGTCGTAAACGAATAGCCACAGGGTGAAATCCAGTCTCATCGGCAGATACCATTATTCTCAAGTCATTAACAAAAATTCGGTCATGACGATCTGGCACAGTGCCGATATGGTAAAATTTTCCAGGATATAATTTTGTAGACCATAATGCATTTTCAACAAGAGATTGTACAATAAATTTTTCGTAATGTTGACTAGCATCAAAGAATCCCTTCAATTCTTCCAAATTAGTGATTGTGTAAACACCCTGCCCTAATTTTGCAAAAGATAGTTAGATCCATGCTATTTACAATTTAAATAATCAAGCTTGTTACTTTGTTTCAAATTGGAAATAGATTTTGTATAGAGAATATTTACCGCAACTACCATAGGGAACTTTGACCACTTCATGGCCTCCCATCTTTTCGATACATGAAGAAATTTCACTTTTGTTCACATTACATATGGTTTCTGGAAAACGAATGGCAAGACCACTTCCAGATAGTTCATTATTAAATAATTCAAATGATTTTGATGCCATAACTTTGTTATGACCTCCAGCTAAACATGAGATTATATTATTAAAAACTACAGTCTTGGATTTTAGAGGAAAACGAGTCCAAGGTTTATGAGCTATATGCTTAAAACATGCTCTTATAGAGTGCCAAACTAATTATAAAAGCAATTAATAGTTAATTTTAGTAATTTTTGATCTGATAATTAGTATTTATTGATATTAACCTCCATCTTGGTCTCTGATATACATAATTTGATTCTCCCATTTAATAGGTTGTTCATATCTCGCATCATATTGAAGCATTACAATCCAAACATGTTCTTTAGTCTCTTCAGAGATTGCAGCTGCATACCTGGCTGTTTCTATTTCATTACTAGCTTTATCGTACACTACAGCAAGCTCTCCAAGAGAGGGGTCTGCATCTTTTAGGGCCTGTTTAAATGCTGTTTGTATCACGAGCTTATATCCATTCTGCCTTTTATTATTTATGTTTAACGAAGGCATTGCATATTGTCCTGCTGGACTTGATCCAGATTCAATAATGATCATTTGTCGTTTAGCATTTGAATCAATCACATTAAATAAATCAGCACCTAAGAAAAGTAATATAGAAAAGTAATGCATTACCAAATCCAAGCATATAATTCATAATATAAACAGTGCTTAGGAATTCATGTGATTGGTTTGTTAGTTGTGCTGACAGTGTATGATCACGTGATTAAATTGTGATTGGTTAGTTGTGGATTTTATATAATATCACGTGGTTACGCTGTCCTAAATACCAGTGCTTATTTTTCACGTAACCCAATCAAATTGCTTTATTTCCAAAAAACAAAGTAATTTGATTGGTCCGCACACGTGTATTCATGTGAAAAATAAACACTGCTAAGCACTGTCCGTAGATTTCGCGTTAACATAAATCGAAGTAATCACCTGCCCATTTATAAAACTTTGGTTCATATTCTAAACAATTTCTCAAAACATTTACATCAACTTGAGGATTTAACTTTGTATATCTTGTAATAATGCGGTCGTTTCCTAAGCCGAAGAAAGAAGATACAAGTGGATGAATTGTCGTATTGAGTACTTTTGGAATAGTACATAGTTCTGGATTAAAATCTCCTGGATACACTTTTTTTATTGGGTTTTCAATAGACATGGTGTCAATAAAAACATTCTCTTGCTCTTTTCTATTATAAAATCTTTTACTTATATCTGAATTTAAGATTGAGCCATTCACTAAAAATCCCATGTTCATGTCAGAGACGTTAGAGAAAGTAGTTTGCATTTTGAAATTTTATAAATTCGATATTAATTTCCAGTGTTAGCAAAAAGAACAATAAACAAAAGCTCAATTTTTTGTCTTTATATAAAAAAATTTCATATAATTCTTAAAAAGTGATTTCTTAGGCAAGATTTCGTGTTATACAAAGATTTCCCTGATCTTGCGATCTATTCCTTTTTGAAGATTCATTAGTAAAGCAATAACGGTAAATTTAAAATATTTTTATATTTAATTATATATGCCAATAGTAAATATGAGTGCTCTCTAAAAAATTATGATCGGCGTTTTGCGTCATATGGCCAATATGTACTTCTACGCAGAAGAACCCGTACCCTAAAACTTTTTGATAGTAGAACAGGTTATTTGACAATGACAGACAGCTTATCGTTATTAGACAATTAACTATATCATTTTTGAGGCGGAAGGTTAATTTTTAATACTACACAACAATGACAAATGGCATACGTATTTCAGTAGATCCAGACTAATGAGCTAGGGTTTACTTATTTGCGCCGGTGATACAAACCAAAAAAAGGAAAAAAACAAAGTATCCTTGTTTATTAGCACAAAATCACGATAGGAGTAAGGCTTAGTATACGTATACTCAAAATTTGCAAGGAATTCTTTTTATTAGAACGTAAAAGGTGATTTCTTAGGCCGAATTTTGAGTTACCAGCTATTTTTTTAAAAAGCCTTTGTTTTCATGTTACACCAACCGTTATGCGATCCATATAAGAAATTTTCCTTATTTGATTTTAGTACTCAGCAAAATCAAAATTATTTAATCAAATTTTTAATTAATTTGATCAAATAATTTCAAATATTTGATTCAAATTCAAAATTCAAATTTTGATTTTGATTGTGCGGAGTACTATTTGGTTTGTATCACGGGAGCAAATAAGTGTACGCCTGTACGTACGTACGTACGTACCTGCTTTAGCCATCCCTATTTTTGGAATGAAAGCAAGATCGAGATTCTAGATTTTTCGCCAAACGAAATTTTAACGGGCTTGGAGCCTAAATTGATTACTAATCGATTTGTACGACCTCCGGAAATAGAATAGGCCCACTAAGAAAAAGTTGACCAGCAATATTTTTCACTTATTTCGGCCTAACTTTTTGATTGTTGCTCTTAGCAAATCAAAATCGAGAATTTTTTCCATGACAAAATCGGTGCGGCAGCTATATTACGACAGGGTGAAACCTGAGTTGCGAAATAGTGAAATCCGCTACGATCATCACGCAAGGTTTTATATAATAAAATAAAACACATAATAAAACGCGGATTTCACCCTAACCTGATCTACAAAACGGGATTTCACTATTTCGCAACTCAGGTCTCACCCTGTTCTATTATATTTTATGATAAAAAATTGACAACATAGAGGCGACTTAGTGTTATGTAATACTGAATTTAAAAAAACAGATGTAAAATTGATTAGATTATCGTGTCTAAAACAGGTGCAAACATAGGTACATAGCTTCGGAATCAAATGTATATGTTGTAAGTGTGAATGAAACCATAATAGGGTTCAGAATCCACTTAGATTAGAACGGAATAATTATACTAAAAATCCAACCCTAACCTCTATTCCCACCTATGACATATATAATGAATACAAAGTTAATTATTCTCGCCGGATCAATTTATTATTTATTAATAGTGTTGCTTGCTGCAAATATGAAATGCGACTTTTTTATAGCGCGACTAGGGTTGCAACTTATTGTCGCAATAGAGTGTGACATCGGTAATATAGTATTTATGACTTATCTTGTAATAATTACAGCATAAATAAGCTGTAAAAATTAAGTGGCGCCTTTGCAGCAAGCAATACTATTTTAAGGGAATAACGCAATGGGAGTTGTACCGGGCTGCGCTCTTTACACGCCCTATCATTTACATTTATGCTTTACAGGATTTGTTAACTATATATCATACATATATATTTATTTACCAACTATTTGACAAGATCACATGGCGAAAAAGAGCATATCGGCGGATTTGCTGAATTGGTCCTGGATTGATCCTAAATTGTTTTAAAGGGTAAATAGATACAATAACACGTAGTATAAAATTTTATACTACATGTTATTATATCTATTTGCTACAAAATTTGGTGTTCATTTTGCGGATAACTTTGAGGATACAATTTAGGATCAATCTAGGACCAATTCTGCAAATCCGCCGATATGGGATCTGGTACGGTGCAAGAAATGCAATCAATCATTCATTATAAAGTATAAAACAAGTATGTAGCATATTTCCAAATTATTAATAAAGCATGTACATAAATACGTATTTTATTTAAGTTGATAAATTAAGAAATCTTTGACTTCAAATGCGCTACGTACTTAATTACGCCTACTTAATTATATGTTACATTATTAAATTTTCTGCCCAGTGCATAATCAAGTAGCACATCGATTTCTTAAATTATCGATTTCAATAAAATAGTATTGTACGTACACACTTTATTGATGTTAATAATTTAGAAAACACAGTGCTGTATTTGATTTCAGTATGCTACTTGTTTATACTTTGTCTCTATAAGGTGATTGTGATTTTTGGAGCTTTTGCACCATAGGTTGGGGGTATTCGATCATGTATAGTCATATATTAAAAATACATATACAAATTTTTTTTGAGATGATCATCGTTTAGTTTTTTTTTAAAAAACTTTATACGTATTATACATGTGACCGAAACTTTTAACAGTCTTGACCCTGATTCAAAACTTACGCCGAATTCTGAAACCCAAAATTTAGCCGAAATTTATTTTCATAAAATTGAAGCTCGGAAGTAAATATTTTTTTAAGTTATTAGTGCGTAAACTAAAAAAATATGTTTATTTAACCACACATATATGGTACGTACAATAAATGTCCTACGTATATAGTCATTTCCGAAAAATACATGCAGCATTGGGGTATTTTATCAAATTAATACGTAGTGCAGATTTTATGCGTAGATCGGCAAAATCTATCAAAACATAAGATCATGAAAAATGATTTACGTACAGTGTTGGCTAATTGGACATGGTTAATTATAGTGATTTGAACCGAGAAAAATTTCCTTAATCGGTTAACCGAACCGAATTATTTCATTCAACCGATTGCCAACCGG